GCATCAAAGTTATCCCCTCAAATGGGTGCTCAATCCACTCTTCAACTGTTCTGCAGGGGCGGAGCCTTCTGCGTGCCCTTCGAGTCCTTGGAGTCCTGCCACGCACACATGTCCCCCGTTTCATTGTCCTGCGCTTGCCGCACAGGAAGTGGGATTGCGGCCTTTTGACGAGACAATCTGTATTCATTGCCACTTTAATATTTAGCGATGCGTAAGCCGCCGCTCGTCAGTCACTCCACTGTGAAGTGATTTTTTCCCCTACTGCTCGCTCTGCGCGCTTTTACTCAATTTTTTTTCCAGTGCTTTTAAGTGCAATAATTTGCATTGCAACTGACACGATATCACTGCGAAGTGCAGTGCTTCCCGCTGGCACTCACCGCCAATTGACGAAACAAACACGCTAGTTGAACATGGCAGAAAAAACCAGTGAATTTAAATTGCCAGAGTGATATTTGAATTAACACTTCCGAAAACGTACGGAATAATTGGCGCATTTTTATTATTTTCACAAAGAAATACCATACAATCGATTTTATGTCTGTTTCGTTGGCTGGCTGGGAAATAAATATAAATATGCTGGTCGTTTAATGTGCTTATATGCTTTTTATACTTTAATTAAGCAAACATTCCATATACTTCTAATTATTTAATTCATCAAAGAAAAGCACATCAAATATGCTACATCTTTCTATTTTTATCTTTAAACTATATGAGTTGCCCATGAGCTTTTTCCAATTGTGAAACGGCTCTCACTCTTTTTCTCTGTAGAAATATAAATGTTGTGTTCCCCAAATGTTACACGTCCCCTGCGTACTTTTTAATCCTTTGACAGGACACCCTTCTTCTTTGCGTTGCAACTCATTAAAAATGTTAAAGCGGCATCAACAAAGCCAAACAAACGGAAAGGGAGGGGAACGCGAGGAGGGCGGTGGAAAATCAGGAAAAGATGCCGTGGCAAATGGAGGAAAAGGAAAAATCCGCGAATGAGTCAAGGTGAACACACTCACTTTGGCCCACAGATCCGTTTTGGCAGGCAAATGAAGCCGGGGACTTCGGACTACGAAAGATTTCCTCACCTCCCAGTCGTCGGAAAAACTCCTCATCCACCCAACTTACGGTACCACCCACATCCATCCAACTTGCGGAATGCATTTCCTTTAGACTTTTGCCCTGTTTCCTTTGTTTATTTGCTCAGTGCGTTTTCAGTTGACTGCATTGCTCGTCGGGAAAAATCGGGGGAAAAGGCAATGGAAAATCGGGACTCGGTGGGGGAAAATGCAATAAGTCACCGATTGGCGACAGGCTGCACAAATGTGTGGCCTAGTGCGAAAAAACGTTGCGTACATAAAAATGGGTTACCAGTGCAAGGCTGCCCAAGGCATATTACGTATACGTACGTATACGTAATGCAGTTGCCCAGCGTAATGGAAAGCCATAAAAACGATTTATGGCAGTGGAAGAGAGTTGGCAACAGGGAAAAGAGGGCTTAATCAAGGTCAGAATTCCCTGACACGTCCTTAAAACTCTCAATCCCTGGTTTTATGTTTATTCGATATATTCTCTTTTGATGGAATGTGATTTGCAGAATAAGTATCAATTCCTGCAAATTATTTGTTATTTTAAGATTAAGATATCAAAATAAGTACAGAACTACCAGAGTCTCTTTTGCTTCTCAGTGTAGCGTGATATAATCTTTCCGACCCACAATTGATTGAGTTTGGGGATTTGTAGATATCATTAGCTGTCCCACATGACATTTGTGTACGCCCAGTCTGATTTAGCCATTTATATTCACATTTCCTGCCCCCCAGTCAACGAGATCTTCGGACTCAGTCGATGTGGGGTTGCAATTAATCGTTGAAAGGATTACCCGCCCCTCGGAGGAACTCTCATCTGGCCACTTAAGTGATGCTAATTTATGGGCCCAGCACATCTTGTTTACCCGTTGTCTCCGATGAATGAGGTTTACCCCGTGGACTCTTCCACTGACTTTGCTCGTTTCGCACTCGGTTTGTCCGGTGGCATCACCAGGAGTTTTGTGGTAAGTTTTAAGCCGAGATTAGGCGCCATTGTTGCCAGTTATGTTCACCGCTGTCTGCGGCTTGCTTGCATTTCCAGGGGATATCTTCAAAACAGGAAAATAATATCTGAAAGATGCCATGGCTAAACAAGCGTGTCAATTCATTATGACCATACAAAGTTTTGTTCTCTAACTTTCTAGGTTTAAATTATTTCATATTATTTTCTTTACTAAGAAATATTAAAGCATATTAAGCTAATCTTTAACCCAAAACAACCAGGCTCTGGTCAAACTCATTCCGCCCTAATGAAAGGCATTGCAACGGGTCAAAGGACACCTTTGTGCCATCCATTTGCATCCTGCTTCCAGCCCATCAATTCCAGCCGATTGTTATTGTTGTTATGGTTGCGACACCAAACTGCAACCGCATCCGAGTCCAAACCGCCTAATCAACGTGTGACTCGCACACTAATGAACTACGGCCGCCAATTAGCCAATGGCCACGCCCCCCACCTGCCTTCCACCACCCACCACCCACCACCTCCCCTTTGACCCGCGATTGACCGCAGAAGATTGAGTGGCACTGACCTGTCGCACAGCTCGTTTGACCCATTGGTATCCATTGAAGGCCCAGCAATGTCATCAGTCAAAGGATAGCGCAGCTTCTTTGTGAAGTCCTTGAAATGCCCCAATAACGCTCCGTGCAGGAGGTACTTGCAACATGCCCCGTTGTTATTGGTCAAGCTATTTGTCTTCCATGCTGGGCACTCAGTTCTGGACGAGGTTTGCAATATGCAAATGCATAAATCTGTCAAGCGTTTTAAATGAACACTAAGTAACCAAAGCAAATCCAAAGCCATTCTCCGCGGATTGATAGATACGCTAAGATCACCAAGGTGCTGACATAGTCCAAAATAAAGTCGCAATGTTGATTGGAAGCTGTTGGGTGTTGATCTTATTAGCAGGAAGCTCCAATGCCATCTATAATGGAGTAGAGGCAAAGTTTGACTTCTGGACCTTCATTGCATCCGTGTCCGTTAATGGGTATCTGGAGTGCGGCGGAACAGTGATTGACAGCCGAATAATCCTAACAGCAGCCCAGTGTGTCAAGGATAAGCCGGTGAAGAAGATCACTGTCCGTGTGGGAACGCCGGATATCTATAGAGGTGGTAAAGTTATCAAGGTGACTGCGATGGTGGTTCATGACAAGTATGAGGAGTGGAACAACGATATCGCCCTCTTATGGCTAGAGAAGCCGGCTCTTTCCGAACGAGTGACCACAATTCCACTGGCCAGCAGAGAACCCTATGAAAACGAATATCCCAGCAATGCGGGATGGGGCGAAAAACTACTGGAGTCCTACGTTTCGCCCAGAAAACTGCAAAATGGAGTGACCAAAATCCGCCCCAGGACCTTGTGCGCCGATGAACTTATTGAAACTATTGGAAACGAGCTCCTATGTGTCTTTTACGGCGAAAACGATATTTGTCCTGGCGATTATGGAGGTCCCTTGATCCTGGCCAACAAATTGGTTGGCATCGCTGTGCAGGGACACGGCTGCGGGTTTGCCATTCTGCCCTCACTTTACACGAACGTCTTCCACTACCTGACTTGGATAGAAGAGAATTCAAAGGAGCTCAAGAAAAATAAATAAAAGAAGTATTAAGAACAAAACGCTGTAGTTCTATGAGAAAAGAATTAAGTGGTTCCCAAAGCATTTTGCATTTTACTTTCAGCGTCGAAGCAAATGTGAAACGATTTTTTTATAATTCTTTTTATTGATTTGCAGGCAAATGATATAGTAAATAGTATATTTTGACAATAATTTTCTAAATATTTTCTTGAACTGTATCCTCAATCCAGTTGCGGAAGAATGCAACATCTGCGTAGACCCCCGGAGCTCTACCACAACCATTTCCCCAGTTAACTATACCAATAAGTTTCCTAGTTTTCATCTCAACCAAAGGGCCACCAGAATCAGTTGTACAAGTATCCCTTCCATGTCCGCCGGCACAGATCATGTCGTCAGTTAATGAACTATAATATTTCTGACATTCCGTTCTATTCAGAATAGATAGGTGGACGCCATGCAGTATTGGCCATGGGAATGAAGAGCCTTCTAGAGTATATCCCCATCCGGAGGCCAAAGTAATGGTTCCAGCCTTCGGAGTCTTTTCGGCTAAAGAAATTTTCCTTACTGCGCCACCAAGTTTGAGAGGGGCCTCCAAAATCAGTACAGCAATATCATACGGATAGTCAGAATACAGGTATTTTGGATGTGGAATGGCATTCAACACTCTTAGCACCTGACCACCTTTGCTCCAATGCGAAGATCCAGCGCGAACTGATATATCCGTAATATTTAATTTTATAATGCAATGAGCAGCAGTTAAAATAGCACGATCACTGTAGATGACTCCACCGCAATTATGGTTCGAAACATTTAGCACCGACACTTGCCAAGGCACATATTCGATGGGAATGAAGTGACCTCCTACAATCCGATCCTCTGGTCCAGGAATCTGAGCAGCGGAAACGAGGCCAGCAATGGATAAAGACAGTATAAGCTTCAAGCACATTATCGAGTTGTTTGACTTCTGTTTCAGATGTTTTAACTGAAAATCGCGCCAGTCTTTTATAGTGCCAAATATGGTGTCAAATAGTAAGGGCATATAAGTCAGTAAGTTTATGGTCTACTTATCTTTGCACTTAAAAGTTGCTGGTAAGTGTGGTTATCTATTATTTATTTTCTAAGCAGCTTAACTTGTGACAAGCTTCTTAGCTTTCATAATATTATATAAATTCTATATACGAGTAAAAGCTGTCCAACAGTGTTTCAAAAAAGTGCATGCGCTGCAAAATGTTAAAACCACTAAAGTCAATGAGCCAATGATCACAAGCTTGGGTAGATTACGGCTTCTGGGTTTTTTCTGTTCCGCTGGAGCTCTTAGCCTATTAGCACAGTTTGGATAGAGCCCCCTCAGCTGTAACTCTTTGTCCACATTATTTTTAACAAAACCATGGAGTGAATCCAGGCCAGAACTAGCAAACGGAAAGGGCTGGGCCTCCAGGCGAACTGGTAGACTGTTCGAAGAGATGTCACTGCGGGAAACTTGGCGAAAAGTCTCTAAAATTGTCTGGCCATTTAAATGATCTCGAGGAGCGAACATAGATATAATAATGAAGAGATGATTGTATCTCACGTCCTCGCGGAAATCGAAGCACTTCAGACTTATGATGACCTCGCTGGATGAATAAGGTTCTAGCCTGCCGGTATTGGGGTTCACTGTATAGTGTCGCCAGGCACTGGATTTAACCTGGAAAAGTAGCTGGAAATAGTAGACAGATACAAACAGGAGGTACTTGGTCTCACTTTGAAGAGAACCTTCCTATCGGTGGGATTCAGCAAAGTCAGCATTCGCCATTGTCTGTGATCATAAGGGGCATGAAAAGTCAGTAGTTGAGGGCTCACGCTAAGCAACTCCATGCTGCCCTCCAAAGTCGTTCCTTTCAATTGATTTGTACTCGTGCCAACCCTTTTTTCCACTTTTTTCCATTTTTTTCCATTTAGAAGGCAACCGAAATGTGTCGGAAATATGCCAGCTATCGGCGTGTTTTTGACAGCATTTGCATATGCCACCCATCGATCCGGGTGCAGTGCATGTTTTCGCATTTATGGCCACCAGCTGCCGCACCCAAATACTCCTCATCCCCATCCTTGCCAGCGAATCGCTGACCACAGCTGGAGGCATCATCACGCATTAGCATTAGGCACTTTCCATGTTTTGGGGCAGCGCTTTGAAATTATTTGCAATCCATTGCACTTGTTCTGGGCGGCGAACGTTTACCATTCCGATTCCGATTTCGATTCCGAATCCCACTACCAAATGGATGATGAACTCAGCTGTCCAGCTGCCTTTTTGGGTCATTAATTTCCCTGCGGAGTGCTGGGTGTGGTGAACAATTGATGAGGCCATATGTGGGGCACTCAGGATAAATAATAGCACTGCGGGCAGTTTCGATTGATTCACGGATGCCACTTTCCAGTTACATTTTATGTTTACTTTTACCAGTTGAGAGAGCAAAACTATTCGTACATGTTATGCAACAGTAGCAGTGGAATAAGAAAAAAATCTTAGCCGTTATCATAGATAAAACTTTTTTTATCAGGCTGTTTGCAATCACATATTTAGAAAGTTTTCTTTCCAGTTGGTTTTTGAAAACTTTGATCTTTCTTTTGGACAAGCGCCTCGCTACAAATATTTAGGTTTTGCTCTTGGGGTTTTTATAGAAACATTTATTCAAACACGCATTTCACCTGTCTAAAAATATTTTTTTGCCGGGCAATGGAAGAATGCCATTCACAGCTCCTCCAGATGACTCTTCCTATCGATTCCCCCAAGTTACCCATGCATAATGTCATGAATCAGCTGCTTGTAGTCGACCAAGCCCTGTTCGTTGATCCTGCCGCTCAGCAGCTCGTCCACTTCCAAGCTCCTCATGCTTTCTCCGGTCGCGGTTAAAATTCGCCGGAGTCTAATGGCGGGCATCCAACCGGAATTATCCGTGTCGAAGAGCCTCAGGCTGGAAATGAACTGCTGCTCCTCGATCTGCTTTTTCCTGGGACTGGAAACGCCGCCGTGCTTGCCAAGGCTACAGTAGATAGCCATCACCTCATCGAAGCACATGCGCTGCATGGTGGAGGCCTCAAAGAGGCGGACATGTTTGCTGACCATCGCCTCCGTGGGATTGGCGCCCATCGCACGGAGACAGTCGCCCAGGTGGCGGATGGATATCTTATTGTCGCCGCGCGTGTCGTGCCCCAGGAAAACCGCATGCAGCTCCAGGATGCGGCTTTTCTCTGGCTTTGGGTTCGGATGCGGAGGAGGAGCTGTCATGTCGCTGCGCCCCTTCTGATTGAAGTCTGGTGTGGTCGATGATGGACGGATTGATGGCGGGCTGAGTTGATTGCCCTTCCTGGACATTGTCGGATTGATTGCACGAGTAACGTTCACGGTTTATGGATTACGGATTACGGATTACGGATTTCGGATTTACGGTTGGACGTGTGCACCCAATAATCTATGTTATGTTTGCGGTCTAGTGACACACATGCCTTTGGGCAAATGGGAAACAATGATTGGAAGGCACAGAAATGTGGTTATGCCGGACATGCTGACAGGTGAAAGATGACTGACTTGATTCCGATTTAGTTTACGAATGTAAAGGAACCAAGTATAAAAACGATGTACAAGTCACTCATTACAGGAGCTCCCTTCAAGAACCTGGTTTGCCGTTTCCAGAACTCACCCATCCAAGAATTTCTAACCACATTCGCATACTCGCAATTGAGGACACCAGTAATCCCAGGTAATATGCACAGCTGGTTGACTTTTGGCCAGTGCTGCGTGCAATGTGATGTCAATGTGAGGTAGTAGATCATCGTGAAGTGGATTCAGGCATTGAACTAATGCAGTTAAGGCTCTGGGATCGAGGTAAGATCGAAGTTATCCACTTTTTTGCCTCCATATCCTGCCACAGCTGCACACGAAGTTATCTCGAGTGAATAGTTTCGTCCTGCACCGGTGGATAGATGGATTGGCACCGATGTCCTGGCCTCCTGAGCGGCATCCGTGTGACCTTACCAAGTTATCTGCTCGGTTTTTGCCTCGCCCACTGCTCATAATGCACTTTGCATGTAAAATATTTAATTAAATGAAAAATAGCAAAGACCAGGGGAGGCACCTCCACCTCCACCTCCACCTCCACCTCGTGGGCCGTGGCATCCGCATCCCCACATGCCCGCATCCTGGCGAGGCCGCAAAAAAGTTTATTTGTTCCGTGGCTGCCTCAGTCAGTCTTCATTTATTGTAAATGAGTTTGCCCGGACAGGATGGTGGGTTCGTGGGGCCATGGAGGATCCATGCATATATGCATGCGGGCCAAAGGATGCATATCGAATAAGAGTGCTCCGCACACACAAGTGACATTCCAATTCAATTCCGATTCCCAATGCAAATAATTCGCAGCTGAATGCTGTTAATGACGAAATGCTGGTAGTTTAATAACATTTACTGAACACTCTGCCCCATATATAGTACAATATATAGCCTGCTTAACTCCACTCTAGTCGCTGGGGCTCTGGATCACCGCGATGAAGTAATCCTCCTGCGGGCACAGCATCAGCTCGTGCTGCTCGGTCCGCAGCCGCAGGAAGGTGAACTCGTTGGTGGCGTCCAGATCCAGGACCACCTGGCGCGCCTTCTCCCGCACGGTTTGCATCAGTGCCGCGTAGTGGAGGGTCAGGCTGTAGTCCAGGGTCGTCTTGATGGGAATGCCGTCGTTATCCACCACAACTATGCCGATGACGTTCTTCATGGACTGGAAGCGCTTCAGCATCTCCTCCACTTCGGCGGACATTCCGGCTTTTACTCTATTTGAGAATTTCGATGCTGACCAGTGTGCAAATGAGTTGCTACTACCATAAATGCAAATGAATGACAGCTCAGGGCATACTTGGAGCAACTTACTCAGTTCACTTCATGAATTCCCACCAAATTTCGTTATTTCAGTGTATTACCCTTCGAGTTTTTTAATAGCAAATTATGATAAGAAGTATTGTTCCGTACACTAAACTTACTTTGCACATTTCCATTTTATTTCCGTGTAATTGAGGACGCTTTGTCGTCCGACGGGTTCATTTCAGCTGCCAGTTTAACGAGTCGATACAAGTTTTATGATGTTCGGCATAATCCGGGAGATTCTGGCGCTGTTGTGTCCGTAAATAAGCATTCAAGTTGGCAACAATGCCGGATGTCGGACTGCAAAAGTTTCGCTTTTGTGGATGGCAGAAGTACGGAAAATTAATTGAATGCTGTTGATGCTGCCAGTGCCCCATCCTTGGCTCCTGATCCGGATTCCAATGCGATGCCGTTCCTGCTCCCTGACCACTCGAAATGCAGATGAAATGTTTGCATCAAGTTCGAGGCGGTGCGGAAATTATGCCACTCTTCCGGTTCGTCCAGACTGGCCAGACAAAAGCCGGACTGCTGACGACTACGGGCAACGGACTCCGGCCGGAGTTGTTATGAAAAAGAGTGCAAAATTGTTCACTTTTTAAATTAATTAAAAGTCTTAAAACTCATAATGAAATTACTCAAACGAGCTGACAGCCGGACAGACACACAGACATACGGACATACGGACATACGGACATACGGACAGACGTAAAAGGATTTGGGCAATGCACATGCAAATTGCTGGCCAGACTTGGGGGAAATGAAACTTCTTATTCGACTTCTGGCCGGCAAGGAAATTCATTTGGTAATTAAATCAATGTCCATGTGAAAAACCTCAAATGCAATTTGTCATGCAATGCCAAGCGGAGAATTCAAAATGTGGAAAATGCGCTTCTAACTGCGTTAAATGCGGCTGGCAATGGGCGGGAAAATGCGGGGAGCGACTATGCGTTTTATTGCATATTTGCTGAATAAATAGTTAGTTTTGCACGGTGGGTGAACAGCAAAAAACAACACAAACAGCCAAATTCAAATGCAACAGGACTCGGAGTCAGTGTCCTTGATCCTGTTTGGATGTTGACTCTCGCCCTCTCACGAAACTAAAGCTGAAATATTTACAAATGTTTTGCAATCTGCAATATGCAACCTGCAAACACTCGCTTTTTAGTGGTTACAAAGTCAGGTGGAACAAAAACATGTTTTTTCGGCGCACAAAGCAATTTGGCCAGTCTGTTGGCGATTCGAGTATTTGTTTAATGCGAAATACGCTGCAATGTAATTTGATATTTATGAAAACAAGTTTGTCCTTCGCATTTAATAATATTTCGAGTGCCTTATTTATGCATACAATTCGGTGCGTCATAAATCACATTAAATTGGCTTGGCCCTCGGACATGCAGCTTTAAAATGTTCGCTGGAAAAATAATTTGAAAGTGGCATTCGAGCGATTTAAATACATTTTGTTTCGATGATATTTGACTCGTTTAATGAATCCGTAATTAATTGCCAATTAATTGATTTTTTCAATAAATATGCCTGGTCAGTTTGCAATCATTCATCTGGCACTTCCTCCGTTTTGTCACCTCTCGCATCCTGCACTGCATTTGCATAACGCCATTAAATAAATCATAATTTGTTAATCAACGAATCATTGGCCGTATTTGCCACTCCTGCAAATATTTCAACAATGCCGCAAGGTGATAATGAGATCAACAGAACCAACACAACCGACACAACCAACACAACATGCCTGGCGACCGATCCCGAGGCCTCCGATTTCAAGTGGCAAATTCGAGTAAGTGAATTACAGCCAGGCCAGGACAAGTTAATGAGAATCGTATTTCATTTGCAATTAGCAAGAGGAGCACACGCACGCATCAAAATGTCCTGCTCTCTATGCCGGTAATCTCGTCCTGGCCAAATTTAAATTATGATTGAGCAATGCTGTGGCTGTGCACGTGTCAGCTTTGTTCTTAATTGAATTTTAATTAATTGCCGTGTGGGCGGAAGCCGCTTTAAAGGGCACAATAATCATGTCTGCCTGTGGAAGAAATCGCTGAATTAACCCTCATTGAATAAAAATTAAAACTTCGTGACGGCTTTGGGCTTGTAAATAAATTTAATTAACTTTTTGACGCCAATATACGCGATTTCGAAGCCGTACCTTAAAGCGTCGTGTGACTACTTTCGTCACTAATCTGCATTGCGTAAAGCTATTCACAAAATCCCTGTAGCTCTCACAAGCTAAATATATCCTCCAATCGCACCTTAAGTGTCAGAAGCGGCACAAATCCAGAAAATCGCTTCCTGCCCCCGACTGCAACGCAATCTGATTTGGGGCAACTTGAGGTCCTTGAATGAAGCACTTCGATACCGGGGATCTGGTTAAGTGTGACACTTTTTCATTTGACGCTCGCTTGCGTTCGCAAAGTCATAAGCAAAAATTCCCGGGGGCTACAATTTTAAATTAAATATTATAGCGTGGGCCTGTGGAAAGCAGCCTCTGGGCAGGATGAATGCGCAAACAGGATACCCCACTGCGTTCGAGGACCCCAGTGTCTGTGTGTCTGTGCGTCTGTGTGCGTGGGGTGTGAATGTGTTTGTCTGCACCTGACGCCTTTTTGCTGGTCCTTTTGGTATTTTATTACAATCCTCTGGCTGTGCGTTTATTTGTGGATGTGCGTGCTTTTGCCCTTTGAACCTAGCTCATCGTGATAAATGATACGAATGTTTGGCAAGGGAAGTCAAATTATTACAACTTTAATCAAAGTATCATCGCCCGGTGTACATATTTTATATAAATTATTTTTTCTAGATTACCAGCCACTTTTCGCATAGCGCTCCCTTCAGCCTCAACTTCAACTTAATGCCCAGCAGACCCGTCGCATTTTCCCATCAAAGTGAAAAACTTCTATCATATTTAACTGAAAAAGGTCAGCAAAGAAGAAAATGGGAAAGAGGAAAACCTTGACATCACCTTTTTCAATCAACTAAAAAGTGTCTTGTTCGCCACGGACGTTCTCCTTTCCGCGCGGCACCACTAGAACCACCAGCACCACTGACTCAATAAGCCGGCATTTTATTTGCATTTTTTTCGTCACTCGCTCGTCCGTCCCCAAGGCTGTCTGTCGTCATTTCTGCCGCTTCGCTGGCTGCCAGCCGAGTTTTTCGCTTTGTGCCCCCAACGATTCGCATCACTTTTTGGGGCGCGCATGGAGCAGGGCGTGGCACAGTGGGCGGGGGCAGATGAGGCAGAGGAGGCAGAGGAGCCATTGGCGGCAGCAAATTCATCATCGTCTCAGCACGCGTCTGTCAGCCGCGCTAAGGATACAATAAATGTCTTTCGCGGTCGCCATTCTCGCAGACAGCGTGTCCTTTTGCAACGTGTCCCGATGGCCCTGCCTACACGGAAAAAAAATGTTTGCCCATGCAGTCATTTGCATGAATAGTGTGAAGCACGGTGGAGTTTGTAACTGATTTCTTGAACCTATGCTAGCGATTTAGCTTACATGCAAATTTTGGCTTTGATGAAAGGCTCTATGGCTCAGTCAAAAGTGACACATCTTTTGTAGCCAGGACACCCTGTACGGGTGAGCTTGAGCTTGAGTGAAATACTCTGTCGGATTAATATGCAGTAGCGCTTTGCATTTTTCTGTAGCCTCCTTTCGGTTTGTATCGTCATTTTCCGGCGCTGCTGGTTTATTCATTGCCTCTGCCTGTTTTTCCTTCTGTTTTTATATATTTATCTTTTTTTGGTTCTGCCTCTCAGCCCAGAGGCTCAGGTGCACTTTGGGTATAACAAATTAAACAACTTTATGCAAGTGGAGCTGTATAAATTGCGACGAGTCTCGGAATATAGATTCACTTGACATGCTCGTAGGTGGTTTTTTCTGGATGGTTTACTTTTGGGCCTGATCAAATTAAATTAAAAATGAATTCATTAATATTTATGTTTATTGTTATTTCCCAGGCAAGCCAGCAAACATTAGAAAGCTTAGTTGTTTTTGTCCGCCTCGAAGTGCTGGCGGTATTGGGGAAACTCCGACTTGCTGATGCTCTTCAGCTCCAAGAAGGCCTGCTTGGTAATCCAGTGAATGACGGGGCTCTGCCACTCCTTGAGCACCATCTGGTACTTCCTGTCGCCGGTGTCCTTGAACTTCATCACCTGGCTGTAGTTGTACCACACGTAGACCATGCAGCGCAGCTTGAAGATCCACAGGTGATTGGGCACAGATCGAATGATGTCCTGCAGCCGAGCAGTGGCTTCCATGGAGAGGTTTGCGAGCACATTGCGGTCCATCATGGTGTAGACGATCTTCAGGTTGCCCAGATAGTTCTTACAATTCTTTTGCAGCGCGATAATGGCCATCTTGATCAGTTCGGCGCCAGGGGCATCGCATTCAGGCATCATGAAGTTGTACTTTACATTGAAGCCATCGAAATTGCTCAGCTGCTCGTTGATGTCCACATCGATGTTCCTGAAATCCTTCCACCAACCCTCCCAGGTTCGGTAGTTCCTGCCGCGATAGATCTTGGTCCACTCGGCGGACAGACTGTCGCGAAAACGGCTGACGGAGAGACCGCGTAGACGACCCTGAGTATCATCGTACAGATCCGCTAAATACATCATGTCGTTGTAAATGTGCTGGACCACGGGCACCTCCTTGGCCGGCTTAGTGCGAATTATATAGTCGGGCGACTTCTTGAAAAAGCGCGCTGCATATGACTTCGTCTCCGATGCGTGTGGTTCCTTCAGCACATTGGTCACGAAGGGCATTTTAAAGCCCCCGATGGTAAACATCTTGTCCAATATCCGAGGAGCTCCACCGTGATTATGGCCACCGTGATTATGGCCAAGCTCTTGGCGTTCCAAGCCAGCCCTGCCCGTCTTGAATTTCGACGGTGCTTCTAAGGCGTCCGATTCGAAGCGCTGATAGCCATTCGCATTGGAACCCTCATCGCGAGTATGGTAACTACCTAATCGGGGATCATAATTCTTGTGATGATCATAATTCAGGCGAAGATGGGGCTTATGCATGCTGCATTCCATATCCATGCGCCGATGGCCATTACCCAATCTGGGTTCCATATCCATGCGAGGATGGCTGTTAGCAAATCCGGGTTCATCCAGGCTGCGTTCCATATCCATGCGAGGATGGCCATCATCAAATCTGGGCTCATTAACACTGCGTTCCATGTCCATGCGAGGATGGCTATTACCAAATCTGGGTTCCATGTCCATGCGAGGATGGCTATTACCGAATCTGGGCTCATTAACGCTGCGTTCCACATCCATGCGGGGTTGAGGATCTTGAACGGGGCGATAATACGCTTCCTCCATAGTGGGAAAACAAGTTGGATTGGGATTTTTTTGGAGCACGTCCTGGCTGAAGGAGCTCCCGAAACTGGATCCCCAATTGAGATTCTCGGGCGGCGCTGGAGCAGCAACACCCGCTTCGAATTGCCCCCTGGAATTGCCCTCATTACAGCCACGAGCATCGCTTCTGTCCACAAACATGTGACCATTTGCCGGACGTCTGATCTGCACTTGGGAGCTATCCATGTTCTCGAAGAAGTTGCGCTGCTTGATCTTCTGGACAACGTGAGCAGGCAAAGGGTTGGGTTCACTTATGGTTAGCCTCTGCCAAAGTGTAATCTGTATTAAGTATTCCGGAACTTAGAGCCTTACTTACGCGCTTCCTGATTGGTTGGCTGCCCACGAAATTCAAACGAGACATCATTTTGCGACTTTTGAAAAATTAGGGGAATGGTTTTTTAGGAGAATGATTTTTCGATTTTTCCGGATCACTTTTAGCCACGTTCACACGCCACGAAATTAGTTCCAAGACTGATTCCTGGCCATAAATTGCTGATGAGCTAGAATTTCGTGGCCTACTAATTCAGATACTTGAATTTGAGGCTGTTTAACAAACTCCTAGACTGAGCTACTCATGCCCTAAAACTCAATCACATTTCCAAAAAGTTGTAGTCCAGTTGCAGCAGTCGAAAAAAGTTATTTGAAATTCGTAGTTTTTTACAAATTGAATATTTTCTATACGAGACAAAATGGAAGCAACGTTTATGGTGGCCATGTTCCTTTCGGTGTTCTGCCACTGCACAGGACTGTTCTTCAATCCCGTGGAAGCCAGCACGGAATCGACCATTTTCCTAATCATCGCCATAATGTTCCTGCACAAACTAAAGTCGATGCGCGGCCCAATTCTTCCGGAAAGCCGAATGGGAGCAATCCTCGAGGTTCCGCTCCTCTGCTTCGCTGTCCAGTTGGCCCTGGTAGTCATTTGGTTCCCCGCCTTTGCCATCCTGCAATTCGTGGTGGACTCGGCGTGCAGGAATCTGCGAAACTGCCTGGGTGACGAGCTCGCCTGGCTGGTGGAGAAGATCAATCCACTTATGTTGTCAGTGGTGCTTCTGGCAATGGAATCGGCCGCGTTTCTCGAGGGCTTTGAGATCAAGGATGTGCAGAAGTTCTTCGGCTGCAAGGACGACTTCGTGTCACCCAGTGTCCTTTCCTTTGTGGCCACACAGGAGGTGAAGGTTTTGAAGCGGGAGTGGAAGAAAATGCAAAACGAGCGTTTCATTAGGGCCAAGAAGAAGTGAAGTGGTGATAACTGGAAATGCGCGAAGCAATACATCAATAAACAATGATAGTTAAAAATATCTGTTTAAGCTTGTCAAGTGAATCGCAATCTGAAATGAATTAGTTGCCGTTTTTCGCTTGCTTGAGGAAGAGCGCTCTGCTCCATTGAACGTGATAAACTTTCGGTAATAATTTATTGCAATCACTCAACTCAATGGCCACGTCAATGGCCAAGGCAAAAAATAAGAGTTAAAATGGAAAAACCGAAAATAAGTGCAGCTGCAAGAGGAGAGTGCAATATTTTAAATTGCTTCCCGCAGGATGATAAAAGTAAGAGGGCACAACCGACTGAAAATATTCGAATAAAATGTGCCGCACACTCGACACATTCGACACATTCGACACACGTCGCGCCAACGAATGTGCAGCAAAAAATTGAAATAAATAAGATATAAAATGGTGGCACACACACGCGATTGGGGAGCCAACAATTTATGCATCACCGATACATATAGGGGCAAACATATATATTTACGACTCCCCACTCGATGCGATAAGTGTGTTTATTTGGGCCTGCCCAATGCAATATTTACAATGCAGCGACACCGAATCTTGGGGCATCTCCTCGGGCGCACACGGCGTATGTGGAATGCGCAGTACTTGGATGCGGGGAAAATGGGGGAATTCGCTGACGCGGCTGCTCTCGTGACTGGCCACGCCCCCTTGCCGCTTGTCTATGGGCGCAATTAAAGCAAACAGCCGGGGGAAGCTAATCTCGGGCGGCTCGTAAATTCCGAGCGCGCATTCCTGTGGGACACCCGAAGGATGTCGAGGATGCCACCATGCCCATCCCCAAGAGCCCCCAGAGCCCCAAGAGCTCATCCTCCTCACACTCATCCGGCAATTGAAGCTCGGCACGAAATCTGCGACGCCGGCGGAATGACAAAGCTGCCTTTCTAATTCCTGCTCGGTTTGTTTACGCTGCCAGCGAATCTGGCAGGCACTCATCCTCCTTCCCGGCGAGCAAGTGGCCATCGCATGTGGCTCCTGGAGCTGGGCTAAGAGTGCCATATGCTGTGCGGGATTGAAATGCCGAACCGAGGCGGCATTTGCATATTAATTAAATGTCAAAAGGGTAACGCCAGCAAACAGTTTGTGCCGCTTCCAATTAAATTCACTCGCGATGAGGGGCAGCTCAATCAAGGTCAACTGGCAACTAGATCGGGATGCCATAGAAGCAACCATCGAATCCCGCGAACAAACTCGTCTAAAAATGAGTCATTTGAAGCACACATTTTTCTCAAAGCATAGGAGGCAAGGAATTCAATTAGCTATCGAATGCCTAATCCACAAAGCCCAAAGATTGACTCTCCAACTTTCATTGTAACGCAGCAAATGTGCGCAGATGCCAGAAATTTGCCAGAAACTGGCATCTGTGCCAGATCCTTTTGCCATTTTCAGGTCGTCTTCCCGGCTTGAAATGAAAATTCCATAACCCGCTTATGACGCACTGCTGATGGGAGGAGCCGAAAAGGATGCAGAATGCAGGACGCCGGAGGAGAAGTGGTTGTGGATGAGGATGGGGATTCGGTCTGACAACGGCAAGTGACGTTTTGCGTCAATGGCCAAATGGGTTTCACTTTTCTCGTGCTGGTTAACCCGAAAAATTCCCTGGCCAAGTCTAATTGGCAGATGCACACGAAACAATTAAGCATCTGGCAGGAGCCAAGTGGATAGATGCACAGCACAATGCTTCCTCGGGTAAAAGTTCGGGGATTTTCGGCTTGACTTTCGCTTTGATTCGCTTTGATAACACAGAGGAAGTTAGAAAATATGCTAGTATTATGATTTGCAACATGTGGCAGCAAGAATCGAGTTCGGCTTGGCGTTGATTTCAACTTTGATGTGCCATCTCGGTTAATGGATGTTCGCTGGTTAAACTTAAACTTCAACTAATCTCCATTCCAGACAGGCGGCCCCGCAATTCCCCGACATGTCAATTAAGTGATGAAAATTCCTTATCTACCCGCAAGGCACTGGCTTGTTTTCCCCAGCATCCCCCCACTTCTCCGTCTCCGTCTTCGTCTCCGTTTCTGGTAATTTGCCAGGCCAAAATGTCTGCTCGAGTCAAAAGCCAAACTCGGCAACCGCAGAAGCAGCAACTCGAGGAGCAGCTGTCAAAACGTATAGACGCTGCGAAGTGGATACATGGGGCTCGCAGTAGTTGCTAGGTTGGGGATTGGGCCCAAATCCTAGCTTGCATTCCACATGCTGCGGCTGAGAAGATATGCAAATCGTCGGCGTTGGTGGAAATGTCAAGTGAATTCGGCAGCAGGAAATTAGCACGCAACTTGCAGCCAAACCGACATCAAGAGTGGAGTAATTACACTTTTTAAAGCGCAGATATAGCTTCAAATTGTATGTAAATACCAAAGAAAAGTTACAATAGGACTGGCAACCTTTAGAAGGCTTAAGATGATAATGGAACCTACAGGTGCAAGGCGTTCTTCCTTTTAATATATAAGGTTTTACTACTGGAGTTACTTGGAATGTGTGTAAGTGTTTGCAGGGGGTTTTCCACGCTCAGACTGTAACCTAGCATTTCCCGGGCTGTCAGCAAATCCAGTTACTCAGCTCGAGCGGCATTTTCCGCTTCAACGCCTCTCGCAGAAATGTTCCTTCGCATTTGGGTGTTCAGTTAAAACGATTTTCAGTCGCCAGTCGAGCGCAAATAAGTCAAACGGAGTGACCTTTGGACTGGAGTTGGATAAATCGCAGCCAGGCATTTACCAATTGTGCACTTTCAGCAGCTGCAAATTTTCCATTTGTCCACTCAACCCACAAAGTATGCTAAACACGTGGCAAACCGTTTTTGCGGAAAATCAAATTATCAGCAAATTTATTTAATGCATAACATCGGGGATGGCCGGCCATCGGTCGCAAAAAATAAATGCGCTTTACACACGCAATTAGCAATATTCCGGCGGCCAAAAAAGCCATTGAAAATTTATCGAAATCAATGGCAATTTCGCGTGGTATTTTCGGTTGATTTTTCTGTGTCATCCCGATAACCAAAAACTGGCACCGAAAATGCCAAACCGCAGAAGCTTTCAGTGTCGGTGGGGCAAGTGCACACATACGAGTATAGTGCAGGTTAGCCCACAATAAATGTGTATCAATGAGCCGTCATCAGCTAATGGAAAATGCTCTGCATAAATCAAAATAATCAATTTTGACTCGGGGCACATTTGAGATGAGATGGGCCCAAACTGACGAGTCAATTTAGCACATAAACGCCTATAAGCCAACGACTTTCGGACTTGCCAAACAGCCAAGTACTCAGGGCGCAAGCACATTTAATTTAGCATAAAGGCCAAGTTTAGAAGTTTCCGGGAGCCACATTTTGTTTGCCTTCACCCCGTCGAAAAGGAGCCAGCCCGAGTTGATGAACTGTAAATGAACTTTGTGCTTGAATTCGATTTGGTTTTATTGCAACATGCTTGAGCAGCACTCCATCTAGACATTCTCCCAAGGACTTGGACATGCAAGGATGCCAGTGCCGTTGGAAGCCTGTTGGCTTGCGGAATCGAAAGTTGTGGCATTTAATAGCAGCAGCTGCAATTTGTGGTCCCTGATACAGGCAAAATACACATGGTATCCTTGTGCGCGGAGCAATGGAAATGCAATATAGGCTTGTACCCAACCGCCTTTCAGGCACAAAGGGCAATCCCCCCTGGGGATTAGTAATGAAAATCCAGTGCCAAGAAGAATGGCAATCTAATAACACAGATAGCTAATGCAGAAATTGCTGATAAGATAGGGTATTCTTATCATAATGTTATTGGTCAAGTGTCGCCAAATTGAACAATGGGGGTATTGTACTCATAATATATTGCAGCCCCTTTTCCCCCGCTTTTGCGTTATCTTATCATATTTTAAGTGGCGGAATGGGCAATTTGTACCAAGTACATTTGCCCTAAGAACATTGAGAATGAATATGGAGCAAGAATCCATAGCTAGGCAAATAGCATCCCATGGCAACGCTGCGTATGCGCGATATTCAGCAATAAAGCCGTCAACACGAAATCACAAGGTACAAACAGCTGTCAGCGGCAGTTAAATGGCGAGCATCATTTCCAGTTATGTGCTTTTTGAATATCCCACTTAAAATGCATGACAATCTCACAGATCTCACAATCCCATAGCGGACAAATGAAGACAGATGAGTTGACAATTAATCCAGCAATCGAGCTCGAATTTATTCTCCTTGCACAAATATATACATACTGGTATATGTATGTTTTAAATACGTAGAAAACTTATCAGTCAAATGCAGAGCGGCTTTGTCCGCATCAACTTCACTTGTATTTACATTTCCATTAAGTCAACAGGAAGAAAAAAGAAATTGGGCAAAAAGTGGACGAGGATTGAAGCGAAAAGCCCTACTTCAGCAGAAAAAACCGAGGTGGAAAATTTACTGAAACAAAGTCAACACGAATTTGCAATTTGGTATAAAATTTCCACTGCGACCGCTGCACAAATTGCTAATTCGCTAAAAACTTCAAGTTGACACAAGAAATTTGTGTGAATACATTTTTTATGCGCCTCCTTTGGACACCGCGTTGAATAAAGCACAGAGGAAGAGAGAGAGAGCACGATTTAAATAGAAAGAGATGGCAAGTGCAAAGTAAACGTCTCGGAAAACTCAAGTGTGAATGAATTTGCTCGACGACTGCCTCATTTTTGTGGGTATTTGGAATGCCGCATTGGCTTGAGTGTTGAAATGTTTTGTTACAATATCATTCAAACATTTAAAGAAAAACTAAAGGTAAATTTAAAAGAACGTCTGAAATGATCTTATCGGTATTTAAACAAGGTAATCAAGAATAACACTTGTTAGTCACAATCTGTTTTATTGCCGCGCCTTTTTCACGCGCTTATCGCACTTCGTTAACTGCCCTTTATTTACTTTAGCCGGTCTTAAAAATCAAAGCAAATCGACCGTTTGTAAATATTTGTCCGTCACTCAACTTTGAGTGGATACTTGACACGGCTTTTATGTAGAAGCTTATCGCAGGGATTTGAATCACCCTCGCTGCTGCACAAGGGAAATGCACGAAATCTGCAGCTGGCTCACAAAGAAAATGCATTTATCTTGGGCCCCTGATGCATTGCTAGTTATTATACGTCCGATTGATAAATACCCCACTACTAAATTAAAAGTGTCAACGGGGAAACCTTCAATGCGCCCAGCTCAGATTCTCCTGCTTGCCAGCTGGATTTTCGACAACAAAGCATTTGACATTAGTTGAGATTTTCAATGCTTTTAGCCCGTCCGCATTTTCCCCATACCCATTTCCCACACCCATTTCCCATACCCATTTCCACGGCGTTGAAAACGTGTCAAATGGAGCAAGCCACGCGGGGGTGGGGGGAAGGGGGAAGGGGGTTTCGGAACATAAGAAGCAGATTGGTTCGGTGCAGCCATAGAAGGGCATCTACATCATCGCCATGACGCCGGGTCTAAATTGTTTGCCAGCTCGGCAGCTTGCAGCTCGGCACTTGGTCAAAATCTGGGGTACAAAGTTCGCCGAATTGCAAAATGCCAGGCGGAATACAAGGGGGAATGGCGGGGAATAGAAAACAATGGTTCTAAATGCCGCTCAAGGTCCTTTGCCTTCGATTTGATTTTCCCCGTTCTCGCACGTTCATGCTGAACGTCTATTTATACATTTTAATCAGATAACAACCACAACCCAGACCAAACTGAGCCCACTGGCGACAATTCTGCTGACAGTGGGGCTTGACTCATTTATAAACGCAGTTTGGAAACAGCTGGCGTGATTTCGTTTTGAAATTCGTTTTGACTCATCGCAAGTGTGGCGTAGAAAGGCACAAACTGAATTACCAACCCACCAGTCACACCCGTTACCTTTAAGTCACATTGGCCCGCTTTTATGAGCCAAGGCGACGCAAGATATGGGTTTCAATCGGACTAATATCTCTCGGGGTCTGTCAATAAAAAGTCAAGGAACGTGTGAGCATGCATTAAATAACATTTCCGTTCATAGCACTCGAACTTATGATGGTTTAGGCTGTAAAAATGAAAAATGAACAAAATATATTTTCATTTGGAACGTGTTCCATAAGTAGAACTTAGCCTTGTTAAAATATTTGAAAACTTTGCGTATGAGCAATGTAAATTACTTTTGTATTTCCAATTTAACACCAATACGACGTATGCATGTTACCCTTATTTATTCCAGTGTTTAAATTCGAAGACTTAACCCCCTCATTATCATTTGGAGCGGTGTCAAGTCAGCCCGTGTCATTTCCTGCGGAGTAGTCCCAACTGTTGAATTCAATAACGACAACCGATCTGGTGCCCGGCGAGTAAACAACGGCATTAGGAAGTGGGTGGCAGGTGGCAGGTTGGCAGGTAGGAAAACTTTGCCACGACGCCGGCATCGGGCGGAGTGGGGAAAACTTATTTGCTTCGAAATTACGTGTCGCCAAAGTTGGCCGATGCGACATTATACAATTTATATGCACGTATTGCGCTCTATCCAAGATGAAATGTCGACTCTGAGGCTGAAGCTGAAGCTGAAGCTGAATCTGCAGCTGAGACTGAGCCTTAGTCCGTGGCTGCTGCTCATCAACGTCATCAACGAGAATGTAATTACATTTTCCCGATTCATGACAGTTTTGCATAACCAAGGGGCCCGTTCGTGCCCTCGCAATCGTCCTCGTTTCCGTTTCCTGTCCTGTCACTTGCTCCTGTCTGGGTTATTGCGTTCATTAATGAGGCAGGCGCTAGTGGCAGCCACAGAAGCCGAGACGGGGATGTGGAATCTGGATGAGGCAGCCACCTCCGGGGTACTGAATGAGTTTGCCGTGAGCCGTCAAGAAAACTCCATTTAAAATCTATTTGAAAAATCCGATTATGGGGGTTCCCATAATGACAGAGTGATGAAATTCTCAGGTAATGTTATTTTAGCATTTAATTTCAACTACTTATCAACTACTTATCAACTACCTTTTATCGTTTATTTAATCTGAAGGTTTCCAGAGATAAGCATTTTGGTATATACGAAATGTTCAAGGTGCTTTATGCTTTATTAGGTACGATCGGCATCGCGACAACGGCATCTTAATCGTCATACTCATTTCATTTTTTTTATGCAGTGCACTGGGCTTCAAAACCCAAGTTGTCAGCGCGCGATAAGGTGTTAAATTTGTGCGTGAAAGTTCGGGTGAAATGATCGCGAAAGTCCAGGCCAGGATATTCAAGGAGTGGAAACGACATCCTTCAAGACGCGCAGATCAGCAAAATCCCAACTCCAACCACCGACTCATCTCATCAATTAAATATTTGAGTTCTATAAAATTCTACATTACTGTTAGTTTAACATTTACCGCCGCACATGTGTGTGTGTTAGCAGAGCGAGAAGTGAAAAGTGTAGTATACTTGTGGGGATCACCATTTGTGTTAAATGGTCTTTGGTGGTCAGCTTACAGCATTACAGCTGCTGTCGCAAGAAGTTGCTGTGTCCTGGTTGGTCCTTAGTCCTGGCGTCGGTTAGTGTTTTTGTGGAGATTAATCCAAGCAGGCGATTTAAATTTTGGCACTGATACGTGCCGAGCGAGTAGTCGCGGCTACTGATTATCCACCTATAATTCTTCCGAAGAATGGTAAGACAAACAAGCGTCTAGTTCATTGGAGTATATAGCTCTGGCTTAATCACATCCGATAAGAGCCATCGCGAACTGATAAGAACTGAATAAATAGGCTCGCTGATCCCCACGCTACATCAGTTTCCAAAGTGGCTCCAAAGTAACAGCGCAGCTGAAAATTTAATTTCAAATTGACTGCAGTGAAAACGTTAATACTAAACGGCATTATGGACGTTAAACAAGTAAGAAGGAAAGCAATCTAAACTCCTTCAGCTCCCTAAAATAAAATAAGTGTTATATATCCTTGTGCTTATTACTTAAATTTCCAATCTCAGTTCGAGCAAGAAGTTCTTCAAGCCCACAATTCATATCGGGCCAAGCATGGAGCTCAACCACTGACTTTGAGTCCCAGGCTGAATCAGTTGGCTACGGAATGGGCCAATGTGAGTGCTCTTTAGATCGTTAACTAATTTAAAGCAACATTGACACGACATTCCACTTATGCAGTATTTGCTGGCCACAAATTGCATGCAACATCGCCAGAACAGTGGGTATGGTGAGAACATTTACATGGCCTCCGGTGGAAATCTGCAAGGTGCCGATGCCGTAAGATCCTGGTACGAAGAGATTCAAGACTACAATTGGAATTATCCGTCGTTTCAAGGAAACACGGGCCATTTCACTCAGGTGGTCTGGATGAGCTCCACCGAGTTGGGCGTGGGTTTTGCCAAGAGGTAAGCTCCAAACTTTATTATTAAATCGTTGCCTAAACATTTTCTTCAGCGGCAGAACCATCTATGTTGTGTGCAACTACAATCCCCCTGGCAACTACAACAACATGTTCAGAGAGAACGTCGCACGCCCCATATGCTGAATATACTTCGTACTATATTTACTAAAGCATTCCGAAATGTACATGAACTCTAAACCGCACCTGTGAATTACCAAAAATGTGCCATATGTTCATAATTCTGATAACGTTCGAAAGATAATTAACAAGCAATGTTTTTAAACAGATTTAATGCCAAAGAAAGGAATACAAAGTTTTTCTTTTGTAAAATTAAAGTAAAGTTTGTTGTTATCCATTTATTAAATGTAACTACAATAAAGTCTTCGTAAGGTTGCAAACACAATTTCTCGCTAATAGATTAACTACTCTTCGATGGTGCAGAGCGTTGGCCGCGGACGGCTGGCAAGTCCTGTAATACTGCTGCCGGAGTATCCTTTCTTTGAGACCTTTTTGTTGCTGCCAAGGCCATCGCACGAGTCCGAGGGGCAGGAACTTGGAGAAGTTGCGGATGCTGGCTTACAGCGGTTTTTGGGCTGCTGGCGATGGACGTAGATGCCGCTCCTGCGGATTTTGCGATACAGCGAGATGTACTTGCCCGCCGTCGTCGTCCTTGGCACAATGCACCGTTCGCAGAAGGCGGTTTTGCTGCGGGCGGCCTCGCTCAGGTGGGCGTGGCCCAGGGCCTGCAGGAAGGCCAGGACGAAGGCGTAGCAGTTGTGGCTCTCCTCCGCATAGCTGGCGATGGACCAACGCACCGATTGGGCGCAGATCTGCGAATGCGAATGTCGAAAGCAGCGATGAGAGGTTTGGGATTTGCATTGATGCACAGCAGAGTGAATGGATTGGTGAAGGTACTAATACTGTTCACTCCATTTGCTTCTTATTTATCGAACAAAAACCTAGATGAACAACTGTGTGGCTGCTTCAAATCGAGGCACCCTTTAATTTCGTATTCCGCACTCACCTGCTGCAGGACCTCGTCCCAGAAGTCGTGCCACGGCTCCGGCACATCGCCCACCATCAGCGACTGCCGCCACTCCGGAGGATTATCATCCCGCCGATGGCGGCGCAGGCCAAAGCGATCGAACTCCACGATGTCGCCGCCGGATGTGGTCACTGCGATATGCAAATCGGTGGCGTTGCTGTAATCGCTGCGGAAACACAGCGCATCAAAAATATATTCCAGCCATAAAAGATACTCCAAGCGGAGCACAAAAAACAAAAACACATCCAACAGATATTTGCACAAATTTGTTCCGTTCGAATTTTAGATGATTCTGGCTGCGAATAAACGGTGCCAAGCCGCTTGGAATATTCAGGTTTTGGCTTGGCTTCGGCTTTTACCATTTAAACTTTTTTTTTTATTTCGAATAAGCTATAGAACATAACTTTGGAACATTTCATACTTTAAACAAACTGGGTGTGTAAATGATTTCGATAGCGCACCACTCCAGTTGCAAATGCACATTGAAACTAATAAAAACATTTCGTTGATTTGCTGGTGGATTTAAATGTCACCAGCTGCAGCAAATGGGTTTTTAGAAGGGTTGCACCATACTCACTTGAGGAAATCGCCGGCGGAGGGACGCAGGACAATGGCGCACGGATGCTGCGTGGCCCGCACAAAAGGATATGGCAGGCGGAAGGGCAGGAGCAGGAGGCGTGGCACGGCCCTGTCTAGTTGCGCACTCGGATCCGCATTCCCATCCCCATCCGCATCCGCATCTGCATCCGCATCGGCATCCGCGTCCAGTGGGGCATTGCAATGGGGACAAGTGTGCGGCAAAGTGAAGCAGAAAACTTTCACGTTGCAGTGATGAAAACAGAGGATGCCCGGATCCGAGGTAATTGTGGTTGTACTTGTCGTAGCCAACATGTCTGTGTGTGCGTGTGAGTGTGGTTGTCTGTACAGTTGCAAAAAAGGATATCAGAATACACAGTCATATTGCCACAAGTCTTTCATTTAGTCAAAGTTAACTTTAAGTCTTCGATTCACTGTGCAACTAATCGAGAATTAAAGTTCTAAAAGCAAATACTTTACATAATATAGATACACTGTAATTTAATAAAAAAGGCTTTTTAATTACGATCAAAGAAAGGTAATACCTTTAGTTGCTTTTCTCTTTGTGTTGGCTCCAACTCCTGGACTCCTGGCTACTGGCTACTGAATCCCGGTTCCCCTACCTTTGGCCCCCAGTTGGGGATCCTTCGCCTTGTGCCCGTATTATAATTGATACACTTTGTCTATTGTGCCACTCTCCTCGTCCCCGTGGCCAGATGCCTTTGGTGCTTGTGGCTTTGGGCCAGGCCTGAAACGAAACGTAACGAAAAATTGTTGTAAATAAGCCGAAACCAGACGAAGTTGCGACCAGAAGCGGTTTGCCTGCCACATTCAGGCGGTGAACAGTTTCTGTGGTTAAAAGGGCAAAGGTCAGGGGTCATGGAGAGGACTAACAAGCAGTTGGAGCCTTGGCCATATTTGTCATTATTATTGGCTGGTCCTTGGTGAAGTTTATTTAGGAGCTTTTCGATACTGGGACAGCATTACTTGTGAATTCAAGTTGAAATAGGTACAAAATAAACGCATTAAATTGAACAGAAAATTAATACTAATACTAATACTTCAATTTATTGTATTTAATATGTTGTTTGGACAGCGCCAGGTCTCCCTCGACAAAGAAAATGATTACCAACCCTCGTTAGCGTGTTTGGAACATTGTGACTTAGCAAAACCGCACCCTCTAACCAAAGTAAAGCTCCTCAATCAATTTAGAACTTAGTTTTCGTAGGAGAGCCACCGAGCCACCCCAAAGGAGCACTCATATGTTGGCCAGCGAAGAAAGCCGGCTTGAAAGAAAGCGGGCCAACACACAAAAACGTAAACAAACCGGCAAACTGCGAACCCACCACCTGGCCAAAGGAAAAATCGGAAAACTGAATGCCAGCGAATTGCCCAAAACAAGAAAGAGAGCCAAAGCGCTGGCCGAAGAGAGCCAGGGAAATTCTGTCATCGTAGGTGGAAAATGCATTATTCACGACGCAATTTCCCCGCTCGGTTCTGCGGACTCGGCTTTCCGGGAACGATAGCTCTAAGGAAGCTCGAGGCGAACCAGTTGACGGCGAGCCGTGCGAGCAGACGGTCGTGTTCCAGTCGCAGTCCCTCAAGGATCAGTTCAGTTGGTCGGGAAGCGCAAGTGGAAAAGGTCCATCATTACCCACGACCCAAGTGCAACGGTGTGAAAAACAGAGGAAAAACTGTGTGTGCGATTTCGTGTAAAAACGCAAGGATATGCCGTCCTAGCCAAGGCAGGATTTGAAAACATATAGCAAAAAAACAAAAAATCGAATAACGAGCGGATTTTGCTTGTTTACAACTCTTGCGGTCAGGACTTTTACGGATTTTCAAGGGAGAGTTAGTCGTGCTAGTTTGTGTGGTTTTCCGCCCCCGTTCCCTGGGTGTTTGTGTTGTGCTGCTGCAAAGTGGAAGATGCCATGGCAACACATTGCTAATCGATGACGTGACCAAAAACAACAAAAATAGCCAAAGGAACACACAGCTAGCGGACAGAAAACCAGGGGAACCCCCTAACACAAGAATAATCGCCAGATACTGACTTGGTATGTGACAATCAACATTATGACAGATAAGACCGAACATTCGGCCCACGAAATTCATTTTTAATAGCCAAATTGCCATAATTTAAGCCTCTTAATGGCATTGGCAACCGTCTTTCCTGGCCGAATACCGCATTTCAAGATTGAAAAAAAGATACGCCAGAACGGAGAGTTGACATTCCGCAAACAAGCAGGAATGGCCGAAAGGATGTAATTTATTTCAACTCTTCCTTTCGCCCCTCTTGACCCAATTTGTGGGCGTGGCACTTGTTCAAAATTGAAATGTTTACTTGGCAAACTTGCCAAAATAGTTTGAGAGCCACTATTCATGAAAACTTCTGTGACAGATTTAGTAGATAATTTTTTTGAAAAGGGTTGCCAAAAAAAACATTTAAATTGCTTTAAGCGTTGGCAATTAATAAAATAGTAGTTCATAAATGTATTTGTGAGGCGTCTTAGAGAAATATTATTATTATACATAAATGTGGGGACCTCGTTTTCTTTCATAAATATTCAATGTCCTTTGAGCATGAAAACTTGTGGAATGACCTTTTATAAACTTCACTTTCTCAACAAGTTGCAATCTCTTTAAAGTTAAAAGCCTGCAAAACTAATTCTCAAAGTTATTTGAAAGTTTTGCCAAGAAAATATGTAATTAGAATAAGCTAACAGAGGACTTCAATTTAAATTGGAATTAAATGCAATCTGCATGGCAACTGCCATATTAAAAAGGATTATAACCTAATGCAAAGATAAATATTCAATATTTTGTGAAAGTGATATTCAAACAAATTAAGTTTGCTTTACTGATGAGCAAAAAGTTAAATTGCTTTTGCTTTGGGTCATGAATAAGCAAAATAAGCTGGCCAAGTAAAGTGGACGCAATAAATTGTTGAATTTCGCTTTAAGCCTCGGAAAAAATCGAGGGTAACAAGCAGGATAACAAATGCAATAAAGGAAACGACAACAGGCCTTGGGAGACTCAAAATGAAAGTAACCAGAGGTAGAGGGAAAATGGGCCATAACATGAACAGCAACAATTTCAGTGAAATCCAAGCAAACTTTATCTCTATGTTGTTTGCCAACTTGAATTAAACACGCCCCCCAACACACATGGAAAAAATGTCCGGGAAAATCTCAAAGAGTTGCGAGAAATGAAATTACAACTTGCATCCTCGTCCCGACATTTTTTTGGCAAAGCACTTGGCCAGGACCTTCAAAAGGAATTGTTTGGCCAAAGAAAACATAGAAAGGCACATCATGAAAAAGTACGAAAAAATTGTCTGAAATCAAGTTAAGTTTACGCATTTTGTGAGGAGCACAAAAGTAAGGAATAGGGTGTTTCATGCCATAAGGTATTTTAAAAATGGAAAATGGAGAAGCGGAAAAAATGTGTGAATGGAAGTTTTTTTCGGCCGGTCCTTTCACTCAACGCAGTCAAAGAAAAGAGGTGAAAATTGTTCAGATTGTCCTGAAATCAAATACATCCCAAAGAAAAGTCATTCATTTGAGTTTAAAGCCTTGCTTACAAAAACTTTAACTTAACGAGGCAAGCGCGAATATTTGTTAAACTTCTCTTAAAAAAAAACCAGTGAATAATTAAGTGCGAGTGGAAAAGCAGTCGCCAGTACCTGCCAGTAAGTAAATTTAACGGCAGCAACTGACAGTGAAATTGCTCAAAATTTTATTGTCCTGGGCTTTCCCCTTTGCTGGGTCCTTCACGTCCTTTTTCCGGAATTCTTTTGTTTTGTTCGGTCCGCAGCTGGTGACGCAGGATATAAATTACATTTGGAACAATAAGAAACAACAATTCCAGCAACTACAGCAGCAGCTACAACAAGTGTTCAGTGAATTAATAACAAAGCGGCGACAATAACGACAAAGTTGAAAATCCTGAAGGGCTGTCCAAATGAAATAATCCGAGTTGACAACTTTGCAGGCAATGCTTCCTTTTGCCCCAAAGAGAAACTCAAAATTCCCCGCAATGCGTGAATTAATTCACAAGACACAGGACCCTCACACGCGATACGCAGAGTTTTCTGGAGCGAAATGCACGTGCGTGCGGGAAAATCTTTTGGGGGGGAATTCGGACCATATTTTCCCGTTTCCGGTCGAAATAATCGTCACAGCTCACGAAATAATGTAATAGGACACCATTCGAAGGCATTACCCCAAAAAGTTACGAAAACTCTGATATAAAAACACAACTTTTTAAGAACCCTTCATTAACTTTGAATGTGGCCACGCTACTTTTTTAAGTTTGCATATTCTAATTCCATGTTGTAGACACTGCCAAGTATGAGATGCACAAGCATCACCCCCCATTTGATACGCCTCTGGCTGGAGGTGTGCTTCTGGTGTGCCGCATGCTGTTGTTACCTCACCTCCATTTTCCGCTCCCCGCTCCCTTGGTTTCCCGCCACTTCGGAAGGATTTGCCCCCTCAGCCCCTCGACAGCTTCATAAAGCCAAGTGTTTGCGCTTTGAAGTTTCCGCTTCCGCAGCGAACAACGAAGAGTTGTTGTGGCTGGTTGTTGTTACTGCACGTTGTTGCTATTGCGGCACAGCATAAAACATACTTATTTTGGAGTTGGTGGCACATCCGAAAAACACCGGGAGACACACACTTTCAAACAGCCCAGTCCTTGTGCACAGAGCGAAAATGGTTGGGCATTAGAAAAATGTGTATTCTGTGACCTGAAGGTTTTTACAGCAGGACTTACTTTTATCGAATTTTTCTCAGTGCAGCAGGAGCATGCCAATGCTGAGCACTTGGCGAATTTTCCATTGGCTGCATTGTAGTTCACCTTACGGCGTCGCATCTGGTGCTTAAACCACGCGAAATTTAAATTCCTAATTTCTTCTCGTTTTCAGTGGGCGAAACGCCAAAAGGTTCGAGTTTAGTTGGCGATTTGTTTGCTCAAGGGAAACTGAAGTGGCAGGCTAAGTTTGGAGTAAATATTTGCTTTGTTTTCGGGTTCGGAACGCAAAGATTTGTTTATTTATGGCTTGGCAACGGTCCATCATTTAATCATAATGAATTTATCTGCTAAATGGAAACTTTCAGTGGTTATGGTAACTTTCAGTCGTTATGGTATAACAATGAGGTCAGCGAGGAACTTAAAACACACTTGAACCCCCGCCCCCTTCGCACTTTTCCGCCATTAATATTTGTACACGTTGTGGTCATAAATAACGACAGATTCAAGCGATTTTATTACACACTTTTATGCGCCAAGCCCAAAATCACAAATACCGGGCAGGGTGTGAATAAAAGTGCGGAGGATTCTCCGATTCTTCGCGTCGAAGAGGGAAACTCGATACGAGTGAAAGCGGCGGAAAAGGGCAGACACTTTCACTTTGTGCCCATTTAAGGTCGTGTATGGTGGCGTTTTCCCTACGTACGTGCAATAAATAAGCGACTTATTTATGCCCCTCACACAGACAGCGCCAATAACAAAGTATTTGGGTTAGTAATGCCATTTACGAGGCAAACAAACATAAAGCTAAAATGTAAAAAAGCTCTGTTTACCTTTATATGTACACATTATACATATTCCCATACCCGCTGGTAAATCCGTCTTCAATGTAAGCTCTGCTAAATCTTAAAGAACAAAAAAGAAATAAATATGCAGCAAAAACCCAGGGGACGAGCTTTCGTCTATTTAACTAACTGTGCATAATTCATAATTTAA